TAAATCCATTAAAGGAGAATCATATATAGATTTTATCTCTTCCCGAGTCCAGTCATGTCTTATATTCCCAGTTGCATGCAAACCCGCAACAGCAGTTGACCTAATAGTCTCAACAGGTGCTGCAGTCACCAGACCTCTGGCTGGGAAGACTACTCGCAATGCGATAAGGTTGCTGAATGTTTTCGCTGTACGCAGACGAAAAGCCATACTACGATTATGACGAGAAGAAGTAAATCTGGGGAAATTCGTGTCGGATTTATTTTTTTAAATTTGTAAAAAACGACTTGAATAGTATGCTTTTATGGAAATTTAATCTAATTGAATTCTGATGATCGGAGATGTCATCAATTGCTATTGGTCATAATTGCAGAGGTCGGGGTTAACCGCCAATTTCGGCTCGTTCATTATATTAACATTGATATTCATGGAATTAGTACGATTATTAAATTTGCTTTTCGCGCGTATTACAAACTTCAACGTGGGAAACCTCTTTCACAAAAAAGTCGGTCGTTCGAGCATAGCTCGAACATTCCGATTAGTGAAAAAGCAATCTGTAATCATAATCGAATGGTATTTTGTCATTTTCCGCTGGTCTACCACGCAAAGATAAATTATAATGTTAGTACAATGGGCCAAGTCCGAGTTGGGTTATGACGTCACCTGCGAGTCGTTAGTACGGGTCGTAACAGCAAAACACCTACGCGTCCTAATTTAGATGTATAGTATTTTTCTTCCCTGTTGCACTACACCTTATGCACCTCCACACTTGTTATTTGTCAAAGATCTCTGTTACCGGGAACTGATCCAACAACGCCAGTCAAAAAGGAGCGTTTATTTTTGTGGTAACAAACTATATTTATCGGATAATGTCATTTAATCAACGATATTAATACGTTAATATACTTTGCAAACAATAATGTGTCTTAGACGAACAGCCTTTCTTTTATAGTCAACTGGTATTTAAAAAGAAAAGAGAAAGCAATTACTTATGTCAATCAGTGTTGTTGCATCTGATCAGTGCGGTGTGAGTTACCTTATCGATAATAGTCGCCCACGAATAAGTTGAAATATGAGCAATAATAAGACTGCAACTAAATCTGAAAGCCAGAACGAGATACTAATACAAATGTTTAAGATTAAACACTTAATATATTTATTTTTCTTCCCGTAATAGACAAAGAAAAGAAACATTGGTCTGGCTTTCTATAAAGCTTTGACATATTAATATTTGAATTACTGGACTTTTTTATAATGTGTGTATTAATAACTGCAATTCATACTATTTTGACAAGGAAGCGAAATGTGTACATTATTGATCTGTTAGAATCATGGGGAACAAAAACAATTAATATGGTTATTGTCCACATTATTGATTACTTTTGACGTAAAAGTTTTTGAATTAAAAATGGTCTTGCTATAACAATTGACTTTACGTCGCCTAATCGTGACGTATACTAATACGACATGTTACGCGGCGAAATAATTCCTAGGTGAAGTGATTGAATTTTCGTCGTGTAACATGGATAAATTCCTGACGATAACGCAAACGTCTAATTCTACCGAATTATTAGTAATATGCATGAATACGGATGACGTTATTATTAACAATAACAAGACACGGAAAATAGCGATTTCCCCCATCCGAAAAAATCGATTAGTAAGCGATTAGATGTTTACGCATCCTCCCTGTGGAACATGAACATTTGATGCATGTGACCAAATTCGCGTATATTGGGATTTTTATCTTCCAGTATTCGGGATGTTTATATTCCGATAAGAATGTCGTGACTTTTTCTGCACTGGATCAAAATTCCGGTTAACTTCAAGAGGATTGCACATCTTATTCACAAATCGTAGAATGTCTCTTCTGGAAGATTACCCGCCGAGTCTTTTGCCTGAAAACTACCAGACTTTGAAGGAACGGGCGATCGACTGGGCACTTGCCAACGGTCTTATAATTCGCCCGACTGCTGAAGTAGCTTTACCTCAAAACGTATCTGCAATTCATGCGCCAGTCGCGTTGTTCCCGTCGCTCATACCGAGAGAGGCTTTCGAGCAGGCTGTGAATTTGCAACCGATATTTAATAAACTGTATCATAACATGTCTCTAGATGATGCGTTTATTAATAGTATTATACGAGAGTATGGTTTCAGCGAATTTTTTCTACATTTACAACTATGGCTTGACTGTTCTAATTTTGTCCAACATTCGTTTTTTTAGGGTTTCTAAAGTTGATGATTTTATCAAGAGACTGTACGATATTTATTTAAAAACGAAGGACAACGTTCAGGTAAGCTCCAACAAACTTGATTCGTTCTTTCAACAACATGCTTTCATTTTAACTCAAAATGAGTAGCCAATCGTCTTTTGTATTCACAGATCAGATTACCTCCTCCACATGGATGAAGGAGATGTGAAACCCAAGATATTACAAGTCGAGTTTAACACAATTGCCGCATCCTTCTCGAGTTTATCAGCGCAGACAGGGAAATTGCACAAGTAAGTAATAACTCATGCGGTGCTTGTCATTCATCTCAACACAAGGAAGAACGAAATCAATGCACCACATTTACCATACCTGCAATTTAGTTCTTAATGCAGAAAAAGAGTAATTTACAAAATAGTATGCTAACAACTTAGGTATCTCATGGAATTTACGGGCTATTTTGACGCAGATGCGCGATTAAACGCGGAATCTTTGCCGGAAAATGCGTCGTGGACTAGTTTACCAAAAGGCATTGCAAAAGCTCATGAGCTTTATGGATCTTCAAAGTAAGTAAGGAACGCCAAACGACGTTTGATTACGCCGTATCTCTAACTTAATTCTATGATTTAGAGCGGTTGTTATGATGGTCGTTCAACCAGGAGAACGTAATGCTTTTGATCAACGTTGGATAGAGTATAACTTATTACAGAAGTAAGATTAAAGACATTTTGCAAAATACTTTTAATCGAGAGTTGTACTTATAGATGTTTTCATCATTCTAAGTCATAAGGTTCATCTTATTCGCAAAACACTCGCTGAAGTTTCTGAACAGGCAAGTGTGGATCCAACGACCGGTTCGCTCACCATGTAAGTCACATTTTTGACAAACAAGAGCAAGGATGTAAAAGACATTTGACCCGCGCTTGGATTAGAAATTATTTTTTATTTTCCTAACTTTGCATCGTTTTGCGTACAAGTGCTGGTAACGAAATATCTGTCGTGTATTACCGAGCTGGATATTCTCCGGATGATTATCCGACGGAACAGGTAAAATATCTTATTCTCATGATGCCTGATTTGCTAGTGATCTAATCCTGTTTATGGAAATTAGCAATGGCAAGCACGACTTTTAATCGAAAAATCTAAAGCTATCAAATGCCCGACGGTTGCCTATCAATTAGTCGGTACGAAAAAGGCACAACAGGAAATAGCTAAACCTGGTATGATTCAACGGTGAGTTAAGTTTCATGAAATAGAAATTTTGTTACGCGCATAATTTTGAATTAAAATTAATAGATCATATTATTAATACATTATTTCTAAATGAAAAAAATAGATACATATCTGACCCAATACAAGTGAAGAAATTATATGCCAGCTTTGCGGAACTGTATCCTCTTGATGCTACTCCAGAAGGAGAGGCAGCTACTAAGCTTGCACTCGAGAAGCCAGAACGCTTTGTGATGAAACCTCAGCGGGAAGGAGGAGGTATATTTGCATTAACAATACACTGTTATTTGTTCTGCTTAACACGATACTAATGCCTATTTGAATCATTAATGGACATAGGCAACAATATATATACGAAAGATATTCCTTCTACACTTGCTCGGCTATCTGTCTCAGAGAGATCTTCATATATACTAATGGAACTCATCAAACCACCCCCAATGAAAAATACGATATTGCGTGAAGGAGAACTTATAAGTGGTTATATGGCATCAGAGCTCGGTATCTATGGTATATTTATTGCCACACAAGACGGAAAGGTGTTAGTCAATGAGCCAGCAGGTCATTTGTTGAGAACCAAAAGTGCTGATACGAATGAAGGAGGAGTAGCATCAGGATTTG